GATTAATGGACATTATGAATCTTATTCCCATTAATATTTCGTTTTTTCTCATTATTTTCTCATCTTTACCCTTTGCAGCTTCCATGGAGTCAATCCATTTTTCAATAATCGTTGTTAGTAAATTGAATAACTTTTTTAAGTATATTTAAGGTAGTTTTAAACACTAATGGTTAGGTATTGTATATCTATCATGAAAATTTTGAAACATACAGTATTTAAACTTTTTAGGGATTTTGAATGTTTTACTTCTTCCTTCTTATGATTTTCATACTTGTATTGAAAATTATTCCTTTTTAATCAAACGTGAATAAATAGTTAAAGTATTAAAAAATGACTTGAGGCTTAATAAATTAATACTTTCTGATATTGCGATACGTTAATTATTTTTATTTCTAGAATAAAAAGAATTTAATGAAAAATCTGGTAGAAACCAATAATTGATTAATCTTACTTTTAACTAATCGTATGCCTACGTACTAATCTTATAAACTTTAATAAATTACCTGAACATTATTTCTCGAACAATTCCATCTCCTCCACGATGAGCACCGTTACCTCCACTTCCTGATCGGAGTGAAAACCGTTGTAACATTACCGGGTACCGGAGTTCCAAAATTTCTGGATCCGTGATTCTTGTGTTAGTCATATGTGTATGAACGCCACTTGTACCATCCCACGTTGGTCCCTTGAAAAGATTTTTTACTTATTTTGTTATAAAAACAGATGAGTAATTTAAAAATAAGTATCCATATATTTTTCCACCTTTTTCTGTAAAACGAGTAAATATTTAATGATAACTAGTAAATATAAATGTATAAAAAAACTTTAAAAAATATTTAGCTTGATATATGCGAAAAGCTAAGGCCCTTATCAGCAAGGCAGAATCGCTAACGTTTTTACCATAGAAAAAAATTGTTTTAACAAATACTTTGGTTATATACTTTCCGTCTTTTAACCTCAAAATATCAACTTTGCCACTTGATTTTGAATTTTCAGGCATAAAAATAGTATACAAACTCGTTTAAGGAGGCTTGGGTTATTTTGAATTAAATGCTGGCTAGGTCTGAAATTCAGAGATTATATAGATAAAGTTTGCTAGATTTTTTTAGGAAAACAAAATAGGTAGGTCAACACATTTATTTTCGAGAAAATCGCTTGTGGAAATTCGTCATTTTAACACGCAACCTTACGGAACCCGAAATTCAATAGACTACCGTACCGCAATAAAAAGCTGTGGGCCCACACATTAAATTGGTACATGTACTTGAAAGTATAAAGAATCTATTATTTAAAAAAAAGAATAGGATTAACACGTTAAATTTTGAGAAAATAGCGAGGAAAACATGAGAATTGTTTTGTTCAGGTACTGTAAGTGCGCATGCGCTGTAAATTCATTAACATACAAGCATGAAAATTTAAGTCTAACACAATTATAGGTATATAATAGCAGATGAGAGGAAGAGAGTACAGTGTTGTCAGCTTCATCGTGGCAGGGCCGTCATCTTTACACAAGGTACCTCGGGTAAACTAACAAATTTTTTAATATCGATTTTCCCAATGACTTTTCCGCGTATTATTGCTATTTTGTTCACACATGTGTATAATCAAAATGATTATAAAAAAAATATTACAAAGAATCATTTGTATGAGAAGTATCCCACAGGGGCCCCTCAATAGATACGACAAGAAACGCCCAAGCCTCCTTAAAAAGGCTTTATCATAAATCTTGTTACGGCCCTCACCTTCAGGTCGTGCCGTTAAATTTTCGGTTCCTGAATCAAAACCTTTGCAAACTCATACATGTAATAAACTAAGTATTTATGAATATATTTTAGTAACTCTAAATGAATGTCTGAGATTTCATTATTTCAAGCATTCAATTGTTTGCTCAGGAACATTGGGACACTCTTGCAGGGACAGGTTACAGTGATCTTTCTATAGGGCTGCATGTTAAAAGAGGCTGAACTATCCCAGCCTAAATGTATCCACTCTTTGAATACGGAAAACTTAGTTGTATTGAATTCGCCAATGTTCAACAGTACATCGAGAGTAGTTTGAAAATAATAAAAGAAAAAATTGGAAATCGTCTTATTTAAAAAATTATATTTAAAGCTGAATAGCATAAACAATTTTGAGGAGCGAAATAAAAATAAATAATGGTTGTGAGCATGTGTAATCTAACGTTTTTTTTAACCGAGTTTGCTGTTAGTTTTTGAAAACATAAGTTTTTATAGCATTTCATTAAAGTACTAGATCTTACGAAGTTCTACTTTAAGTGTGGAATCTCACTTTTAGGTACAAAAGCTTATAGGCAAGTGATTTTTTGAAAATCTATCGTGAGGCATGAAAAATTAAGTTGTATACAACAGGAGTTCGCTTGTCTCACAAGCATTTAAAATAGAAGCGGTGTTTGGAAAAACTGCTTTAAGTGCAGACGCAACTTTGGTCAAGCATGATCGATCATAAATTTTTTAACCAAACGATACGACTTTTTTCACTTATTCCATCAAAATTTTTCCCTTAAAATTTGTTGGAAATCACAAAAAAATTACCTTGCGAGCTTAAAAAAAAAAATTTAACGTATTGTTTAATACATCGATAATATAGGTTTAAACACTGTTTTCAATCAGAAAATGCTTGTCTTTTTTTTTATTTAATTTTGAAAAGCCTTTTATGAGTAATCTAATTAAGTAAAATAAAGTGCATAAAACAAGAGTCAATTTTTTTATTGACAAAAAAAAATAACAATAATGTAAGAAGTTACAGGCACTTTGATCTTCCAAGATTAATGGACATTATGTTAAACTATAAGTTCTCTGATTTCTTATTACTAAACCACTTGAAACTTTGAACGGTGACTATATTTTGGAATTTACATTGAAGAAAATTGAAGATATTTTCAATCAATTGATTTTCATATTATAAAATAAGACGTCCAATGACAGATTTTCATAATTTTTAAAAAATCTACCCTCTTAGAATTATTTGATGCAAAAAATATACAGGTTGTAACAAGCTCTATTTTATAACTTATATACCGAGTAAAATATTTTTTTTTTAGATGTCCTTGTAAAGCTGATAAAAAATGTTACAATGTATGAGAAAATAAATTGTAAATAGACTGACATATATATGATAATATCAAGGAGAGATCCAAGAAATCAGAAATATACTCCTATACATGTGATAATATAAAGGTGTATCTTATTGAATTTCATATATTGATTAATTTTTTAATTATCGCTGTAATTTAAATATACTACAGCTTCTTACAACCGTGGATCAAGAGAAAACTAGAACCTTTATTTTCAGATACTTCAGGCATTTCAGAAATTTCAGATGCATACTCCTCTTCAGATGAATACACTTTACGATTGGCTTTGATAAAATACGAGACACTTATTTCAACCAATACTACATAGATATAAGCGGCATATTTAGTAAATAAGTATATGTGCGTATGTTCAAGTAAATAAAGACTTTTTTGAATGTTTCAAAAATGACAGTCCAAGTCATCACACCAGCTATGATCTAATATACTTGTCATTCAATATTATGTTGAATTTTATCAATACTTAGACGAATCAGAAAGACGTCTATTAACCGCAGTTATACACATGCTGGTCATTATATCTACAACACAACAATTTGATATAACTTACAGCACCGCTTCCACCAGCAACGGTCTCATAGTATCCCCACTGCTCAGTTCCTAGGGTGATATTGTTCATGCAGCCTTGGGATGCCGCACATGCACCAAACGCACGAAGGATAACATCAACAATCCGTTGTGACGTAAGTACATTACCACCGACCACTGCAGCTTCTTCAGATGGGTCCAAAAGTGAACCTGATGGTATAATTACTCTCACAGGTTTTAGGCATCCCTAAAAATTATTTTATACCACTTAATCCTGGAATTGTAAGCTGTTTTATCAATACTTTGAATTAACTTTAGATAAAGGAATTAGTGCATACAAAAAATTAGTTTATAACAAATATGGAAACTCAGGTCTGATTTCCGTCTATCACTCATTATATCTTATAAAAAAAAAAACTTCAATAAATTATGTTGAATGAACAAAGACATTCAATTACTATATAGTGACTTCCAAGTGAGATTTTAAAACAGTTCCACTATTTATTCTCTCCATTAAGTTTATTTAACTTTTTAGCATAGCAGAGTTCTGTATTCATACTTAGTGTGAAAAAATCAAAATAATTGTAAGAATGTCCTCTTACTGGTAAAGAGTGAAACGTACAGAAAAAATAGCTACTTTTAGAAGAAAATAATAGTGAAAGCCGAGTGAACGCTATGTTTAGTAAATCAAAAATAAGGACAATCGCAAAAAATACTATTATAAAATAGCTTACTTGAAAACAAAATAAAAACAATTAAACAAACTATCAAAAAACTTCATTATTGTCAACTGCCTAGTAAGTATACATGGAGGCATAAAGGTAAAGCTTTGAAAGAAAAGTAAATTAAAACCAAATTCTCCTAATGGCCAGACAGTTAGAAAGGGTTATCAATTTTTGGTTGCATATCTCATTTTAATAGTACACTTTCAATATTTGGTTTCAATTTAAGTCGTTTAATATTGTAGCTGCTCAATTTTCATTTCAGTAATTTGATTTTGTCATCCTATTTCTATTCTAGTCATCAATTTTAGTCATTTAATTTTTTTCTGATCACGGAATCTATTTGCCTATTTTATATATCAAGGACGTAACTTCGGCTTTGTGCACGAAAAACTTATACATCCAATGATTTGAATATTTTTATTCATTTTGGGTAAGCATGACGGTTATTTGCCAGTAAACCAAAATTTTTTACGGATTGCATGAAGTTTTTAAAGGATTTATTAAAGTCTTAATGTACCTACACACAAAATTACAGACCTGCTTAGTGTGGAAAGTTCGGTGTAGAAACTCTGCGAAAATTATAATAAAATTATACGTTTTACATTTGAACGGTAATAGATTTTTACCAAACCCAGATAAATATAACTGTAAAAACGCTAATAATAGTAAAATAAAAACGAGATATTTACAGCTAAGATCACGAGTTACCTCCTCGTACCTAAGAAATTGGGGGAAAGTGTTGATTTTATTGAGATATTTTACGGAGAAATCGATTGTTTATTGGTTTGCCGCATGCTGATCTTAGTAGTAGGAGAGAGACATTTTACTGCTACAGTTACGTAGGCGTCGCAGACATTATATGTTTTGACTCTACGCACAACAAGAGCGTAAGGCTACAAAGATACATGTACTTACATCGAGTTATTATTACTGTGAACAAATCCACTGGCGAGCCACCTTAAATTTCTTGCAAGATTTTAATTTTAGAGAAATATGATGTAAAAATCTAACTTTTCAACCTCCTCGCGATATTCATCAGGTAATATTAATATTATAGGTAATATCAAAATAGTACACCAACTGTTAGAATCTTACTTTTGTAGGTTCAGTAGGATTTGGGAACTTGAAAGATTAGTTTTACTTTTACGGCTTACGTCAAAACATTTTAGTTTTCCATTACCAATTCACTAATTTCTTATATTATAAGTCAACAGGGAGGTGACATTATACAAATGAAAAGTAAATAGATTATCAAATTTAATTCAGTATTTTTTTTTTTAATTTACAGTTTTTGTCAGCATTTTAAAATGTTTAACTACTAAGGTTACGGATTTGTTGAAGTTATAGATTTATGGCGTTATGAGATTATGAGATCTCGGGGTTGAAAAGTTACAAAGTAACAGATTGATAAAGTTTCACTAATTGGTTTTATTATTATTAAGACCTTCAGAAAAAACTGTTTTAGTATAATGAAAAAAAATATAATATGTCTAACCAGGATATTATAAATTTTTTGTAAATATCTTATATGAAAGTAAGTTTTATTTTTGNTTAAAATTAAAAAATTTATAAATTACAAGAATACAATTTTTCACTAAAAATTTATATTACTGGACGAATAATCCAATTATTCTGTTTTTGATCTTACTTATTCAACTAAAAAGAACTGCAGCTTCTTCCTTTAGTTATACTAGTAAAAAAGTATATCTCATAGGCTTATTTCAACAATCAAATATGTGCAAAACTTTAAAATTATTTAATACTCAAATATCAAAGTACATACAAAACTTTTTTGACTAAAGAACTTTAGCCCTCAAAAGCTCACTTTCAGCGTGAGAAAAGTATTTTAAATTCCGTAATAATGCAAAAACTGTATTACATGGATAACTAAATGTTGTTATATTTGAGGGATTCAATTATTTTGTAAAAAAAAATGTAGATATAAAAGTATCTCCAAGCAATGTAATAATCTGACACATTCATAAAAATATTAGGCCACAACTTTAGCGACGATTCACATTCTCAGAGATTGATTATCACGTGTCTGAAACTTTTTCATTCGTTCAGTAATTGGGCAAGACCCACAAAGAGAGCGTAAATTTGCAAATAAGTTAAAAAAAATATGGTTTAAAAAGTGAATATTTGAAATGATTAGAACATTACTTAAAAATGATTTTAACTGTCAATTTCATTGAAATCAGAGTAACAATTAAACTAATAAACTAGTCTGCGTTGTGACAATTATTTGTAGTTCGATACTATTTGATTTAATTGTACTCTTGAACTTAATTGTCATTCTAAGAGGAAGTATGTAACTTTGCTAAGGTAAATTCTTGAAATATTTATTATGGTATCTCAAAACGAAGATTATTTATACAATTATTAGTTTGAAGAAAGAATCCGATTAATAGATAGCAAGAAAATTAATTTTTTCGTTATTTTTCACATGATAGAAAATGCGGAAAAGTTGTTTTATTCGGTTGTGTATTAAAATTGAATAACGAAGTACAAAAAATTTGTGAATGTAAATTAAATTAAATGACAAAATAGTTAAAGTATGCTAAGCTCGTTTAACATAATTAGTAAAAGGAAGGATTAGGTAAAAATTAATTACCTGATTAAGAGGCATGTCGTGGCCTACTATACTTCTCAAACAATAAATCAGAGCTGATAAAGTTATTGCTCGAGGAGCATTGCAATTGCCCCATACTTCATATCCAGTTCCACTGAAATTGAAATAATGTTATGTATCAAACATTGAGAAATAATATACTTTTGACATAAAATGATTCAATTTATCATATTTACAAATAAAAAGCTGTTACAAAGGACTTTTAATGTTAACTTAGTAATAAAATTGTAGTTTTGTGACCATTCGTTACGTTTTAATAGAATTTTGTCAACATCTTGTCTTGTATACTAGCTTTTTTATGAGTTTTATTAAAATTTGAGGTACGTTTAATTAGAAAAGCCATATTCTTTGAACTTAAGAGTAACATCAACATTAGATGAATTAAAATTTTAAAAATTACCTGAAATCACATACAGCTTCTCCTTTTAAGGCATCTATCTCAAGCCTTAAGTTGATTTTACTACCATCATCTAAGTAATCAGAGGATTCTACAAAGTTTTTGTTTGTCTTCTCCAAAAGCTTTTTACTGAACGATTTTAACATTTGACGTACGGCAAATTCTGCATTATCCTGTATATATTGCATATATGCTTGAACGACGTCTATGCCATACACATCAATTAGCTCACAAACTAAATTAGCCCCCTACAAATTTTTAATGTATTTATTACCTATAAACTTTACAAAGTAAATAAGTTTTAAAACACAACAGTCAATAACAAACTTTCTGATTAGCTGCAATTTGTGCTTTCAGGTCACTCAAATTATCTGAAAGATTCCTTGTTCCTGAACTTCCAGGAATTTTTCCAGGTGCCATTAATGCTTCTATTACTTCATTGTTCCGAAACATGCCCTTGTGGACAAGGAGAAAACTTTTGAATGCTGCCCCTTCCTAAAGGCATGATGGATCATACAAATTTAAAGTAAGATCACTTCCTTACCATTAACTCATAACGTTAAAGAAATTATTTTTTACTTGCGACAACATAGTTGAATGAGGAGGCAAAGACCCAGGAGTTATACCACCAATATCTGCATGATGACCTCTACTGGCTACGAAAAATACTGGTTTTGAAACGTGTCTGGGTAATATTCGTCATGAAAATAAATATAATTCATTATTATAGTTATTATTATTATGATTATTATTAATACTATACGTAAGTGACATTTGGTATTCGTAAATTAATTACCAAATGTACTATCTCTCGCCATTCTTCCCTATCATGCGCTATATATACCCATATCCTATCATGTAACTTGCCAATTTCCATAAGGATTTATATGACTTTATTTTCCCATCTTCGTTTTAGTCTGCAAATTGGTCTAGTTCCCTCTAGTTCTTATTATTGGTTTAAAAAAAATAAACTTTGTACTTCAACTAACAAAATTTATGTATGATATTACTTTGTATAATATCTTATTATTTAACATCAAAATGGCTATAAATCAAAAGACTGAAAAAATCTATTTAATAAAAGTAGTTAGTAAAGTAGAAACTATGTATTATAGACTGAATGCCCTTAAAACATATTCAATAATGTAAAAAATGTAATTTCTATTGAGTTTGCATTATGTGTGTCTAATAAAATTATTAAGTGACCACCACCTTTTTCCAGAAAATGAAAAAAGTTAAAGTAAGTGTTGTACGTGTTTCAAATTATATGGCACTTTCTAATAATAACCTTATATTTCGAGAAATAACATTAATACGAACTAAAATGCAAAAATAATTACACATACTTCATTATTTAAACATAGTTGTTTACAGAGGGTTTGACTATTGTTCTAAAAAAGTAATGTTTTGGATGAAATATATTATTACCAATTATAAATATTCAATTAAAGTACCAGATAATTAACATGCACAAAAATTTTCGTATTTCATTGACTTTGAAACTGTTATTTTAAAATAAATATATGTATGAAACATTAGCATTCTCTGTACAAAATATCAATGGTAAGAATTGGTATCAGTTGCTTGTATTTATAAGAAGTTTTGAAAAATCCGATGTTGTTACTCTGGTTATATCCTAATTTAAAGTAGATCTGGGAAGATTCTACTGTTCTTAAGAGTACGTCTAGTACTCTGTAAAGATCTGGATTACTGCAATACAACCACAAGAATCAAAATTTACTCAACTCATGATAGAAGTAATGTTTACGTGGCAGTATTCAGTAGACTATAATGGACATTATTACGTAGCTCAGAGAATAACACTTGATATTTTAATAGAAGCATAATTGTAGATGTTACAGCGAAATTATGTATTTATGCATTTTCATTCAAAAAATCATGTACATTCTATAACATAATTTAAATTCAAAGAGGGTTGCACGATAATTTTGTGAAATTCAATACAAAAATTATATTTGCCAGTCGTTTTTCATATAAAAAACAAAGTGGTTTCTATGATTTATAAAAAATAATAATATTGTAAGAAAATTTTTAAATAAAATTAAATTTTGCGGGTAACTACTAATCTAATCCCTGTAAGTAATACTGACGCATTTGTAACTATATCCACATTGTTTGGTTAGTTATGCACGCAAGATGCGTGCAAAAAATATGTTATTAAGTAGATTTCCTATTTTATCATTATTACAATGCATACGGTTACACAACTATAATTGTATTTACAGTTTTTGATCGATTGTACTAATATGTGTATTGATGTAGAGTTATCCATCTCAATTTAAAGTACTAGAAATCTTTAATTTAAGTTTTGTTTGTCACCATAAGAGTTCAATAATAAATAATAATAATATAGATACTTCGCAACTTTTATTACTATCTCATAATCTAAGAGTAACGAATCAACACCATTGAAAATTTTTAAAAATATTTGTGTGCTAATAACAAATTGAAACTTGCAAAGCTTACACATTTTCATATTTCTTGCAGTATCAAGAATAGTTATTCAACTACTGATTATGTCACACTAAGAATATATTCATAGATTTTTTGTAACAAGAACTATTGACCGAAACTTAGTATCAACATATTGTCGTTGAAATCTTCATGGTAAATTCAAGTATTATAGAAGTCTCTAAAAACTTTATTTATGGCAACTTTATCATCAATGTATAACTATGAAACTTACTTATAAAAGACTGGTGTTATCACTGTTAGATCAGGTAAATGTGAGCCACCTGCCATTGGATGATTTGAAAGGATCGAATCTCCTCTTTCAAAAATCCCCTGAAAAGCCTTTATTTGATACTGTACTGTCTCTTGCATAGCACCAAGATGTACGGGAATGTGTGGTGCATTGGAGACCAATCCACCATCTGGACCGAAAACCGCGCAGGAGAAATCCAGACGCTCCTTTATGTTTGTTGATATAGATGTTCTCTGTAAGATTCTTTTACAAGTTTCATAAAAACTTTAATATAACTAGATACAAATTTAGACGGATACTAAAACTATTTTTATACTTAAAAAAATAATTTTTTTTACATGTTATGATTCAAACTTTTACTGAAATTGTTTTTTCAATGATACATTTATGAAAATTTAAACTAAGATTTGATACGACTAATTAGTGTTATTCCAACTAAATTATTTATTTAAAATTTAAATTTTACTTATGTTAGTAATTCTTAAAAAATTTTGTAAATACTTTGTGTCTAATAATTGACTTTAAAGTATTCATTGAAAAATTACCAACCTGCCCATTTGTTCTGCAATGCTCATAAACCGATGAGAAAATATACTGAGTTGGATGGCATCAAGGTCAGTACTAATTTTGGATTTAAAATCATCTCCAATCTTAATTTTTATGTCACCTCGTAAAGTAATTGATGCAACACATCTGGGTTCTATTAAAATGGTGCTCAACTTGTCCATTATAATAGCTGGACCAGCAATAATATGACCAGGTGACAAAGATTCTAATTGGTACACATCTGCTTCATGGTAACCATCTTCGAAATATATTTTCGTTTTCTGCAAGCAAATATCACTGATTAGTATATGTTTTTAACTCACCACATACTATGCTGATTTTTATATGATCTTATTATAATATTTCAAACAGCACAATCGATCATACAAATTTTAAAAGGCAGAGTATTAAACAATTAAATAGGAATAAGTATTAAGCGAGAAAAGTGAATTTAACTTTTTATTATTGATAGTATCGAAAGGCAATATTTACTGGAATACTCATTAAAACTAATTATGTTCTACGTTTTGAGATACCCTTATAAATGAACTCCCAATACTTAATCCTACAATTACAGTTTCGTAAGAATCTCAAATATTTTATGATTATTGAAGTTTTGATAGAAATCATAAGCCAGAAGGCTTGCTTTATTAATACTTCATTTTTATTACCATTTTATTCTTTCTCTATTCAAATTTGAAAGTTACATTTGTAATTGCTGTTAAAAAAATAATTTTTTTATGATACTTTTAAAACAAAAGAATACCTTTACTGGCTTAGGAGTTTCCTTCGACAATGTTAGCTCTGGCTCCTCAAAAACATAGCTTTTACCTGTTCCACGAACTCGTATATCATTAACCAAGATTCTTTTATTTGGCATTGTAAATCCAAATTCTTTTTGGTATCTTTAACAATATATAATTATTATAAAATTTGAAAAAACCAGATTTGTTTTTATTCAAAGTATTTTTCCATGTGAACATAATTTTTAAACGTTATAAAAAGCGCATGTAAATGTAAATAATTAAAAATATTTTCTAATACGACAGTAGTTACCTTTCTAAAAATGATTTTGCAAAATTTCCGTGGGACATAGATGGTTGCCCGGGAGTAGAAACAGGATCAGCTGGACACATCAATGCGCAGTCCGTTCCCTCATATCTCAAATTCAGAAAAAACTCGTCTGATATTTGGTCTTCAGTAAAGTTCTGCTTACGAAGCTTATTTCGTACTTTATCACGTAATGCTGAAAGCCTTGCATCCAAACGATCAAACGATTCTACAAAGTCAAAAAAGTGTGTTCATTTATTATATCTACTTTTAAAAGACGATAAGATCTTACATATATACGGAGTATCGCAATTTACCACTTTACAGAACAATATGGTGAAGTAATTGAACAACTTGAAAGAGAGCATTGTATAGAAATAGTGTACGTATAGCTTTTTGTACTTTAATGTTTTATCTTTGTGTTTACTTATTAACGTATCCCCACCCGTATTTTCTTAGGTACGTAAGTTTTTTGTGTAAGCCTTGAGATAACTCTCTCTACAGATAACTTGAAAATCCATCGTACTGGCGAGTTTTTACAGACGCAATGATTACCACTAAACTGATAAATTTTTTACCTAGAATAAAGGCCTAAAAGCTACAGTAGATAGTTCTAAAGTAAAATCCTATGCACACGTTGTAAAGCATTCATACATAAAAATTTAAAGTTACAGCTAAGATTTATCAAGTGAAAATAATAGTTGACTTGTAGCCTACGAAAATTTCGTATCAACAAATAAATTTTAATCTAAAATTAATAGTTTTAAGAAAATTTTACTTAGATCATTTCAAGTATGGTTAGTTTCAATTAAAGAAAAAATATAATAATAAGTAAGTATGAAATATCATCATTAAAGAGAGTTTAAGAGAGTTATCTCCATGATCCCCATTGAAACGCATGGCAGAGTCCAACATTTCTAAGATTTGCAATTGCTAAAAACAATTTTTTTTAAAAGTATGTTAGGAAGGGTGTTGTTATTATACTTTTATTCAGTAAACAGAAGAAGTTTGATTCAACACAGTGGTCGTAAAAAAATAGTTGCTTATGAATATAAACTGTATAAGGTATACTGTAACGCCCGTAACAAAAATGACGTATCCTAACGTATAAAAATATTTTAATGCAGGGTTTTATTTTTAACTTCATACACTTTTAATGACTCTCTTGCTAAATTTTTAACCGTTCTAATAAACTTTACAGCTGTTTACAAACGATTATGAACGCATACTTCATATTATCTTACAATCTGATAATTTTAAGGACTGTGGTCGAATTGTATCTCAAATCTTGTCAGTAGTATTAACTATAATGGACCTGCGATTTGTTCATCATGAATGAATAGTAAAATTGCGTCATAGTCATTAAGTCTAAGTTTGTATTCAAACAAAATTTTAATCTATCTTTCTGTCTACTTATACTAATATGAATAGCTACTTTTTAACGTGGCTTTGACAAATTTCATCGGCTTGATCAAAACTTCTAAGATTCTAGAATTATGTAAAGAAAGCATGCCGAATTCATTTGTTATAAGAAAATACTGGGGTCAACGACCTCATTTTTTCACAAATCGCTACTGAAAATTCCCCAATTTAACACCTACTCTTATGGACAGTGGTCATAAAATCGACAACATCTTCGGAAATCTTTGATTAACTTCAAAAACTTAAAATAACTTTTGTGTACTTTTTTTTACAAAGAATCCATTAAATTCTTAAAAATATAGGGTCAACGACTCAACTAAAGAAAAAATCAGAAGAAAAATATGAAATATTAATCTGGCTTGCCTCGCAACATTTTCCAATTTTCACAACTATAATTTCACGGTACGTTTCTGACAATTTCTTGATCTTGTACTTTGGTTTTATCGAAATAACTATATTTATTGAAAAATTTATCATCAAAAATCGTTGATTTTTTAGGGGCCCTTATGGCACTTTGCCCTAGGTACGGTACTAACCACCCAAACCACCTTAACTAAGCGATTTCTCTCGTTACAGTTTCTGTATGGAATTGCTGCAGATTTACAGTAGGGATGCCCGACATTTATCAATATTTGTAATATCGATGTTTTGCAATCTGATAATTAATATTTGTTATCTTCACTTTTCCTACCAATACATGGTGATATCACTGTTAGAATTTTCAATCTCGAGGTCTGATATTAGTGGACAAACAGTGCCATCCAAAGAGAAATTCTCAAAGTAAATATTTTTTCTATGAGATCATATATGTATAAAGAAGCATATAAACAATTTATACCGTTTCGTTGTGAGTCGACTTCACAGTCCAAAGAGCATGCATCATTATTTATATTTTGTGTAAGGAAAGGTCACGTCTTTGTCAGAAATTGATAGGCAATAAGGGGGAGGGTACAGTAAATAGCAGCTTTTTAGTTAGTAAAAAGAGGTCAGCGGACATGAGTGACGTATGGTGCGGCGTCTTCTACCGCATTTATCTAGATTGCGTCACCCGAAGAAGCACCAGTTCATTAGGTGGGGGTCACCCATTAAATTTTTCCAGCGCCGTCAGTGAGGGATCCTGATCCGGTTCAGACGTTGAGGACATATCATTATTTTTTCTCTCGTTGAGCGGCTTTTTATGTCCGCACGTATTGGTTACTTAGACAACAAAATTACGTTGTAGACAGATGATTATGCTTAAAATAAAGTTTAGCGTGTAATAGTTCTTTAGTTGGCAAATTAATGTAAGTTGAAATATATTGTAAAGTGTGCTTCACTACTGAGAATATTTTACGGTTGTTGTCAGAGTTGATAAATACTTGGCTTAATGAAGATAATATTATTGCCGTAGTCACTGACAACGCTAGTGAAACCATGAGTGCAGTTTCTGAAATTTTTGGTACAGAAGTTCAACTGTTTCGCCTCACTCACACTTTGAGTTCGGCTCTTTCTGAAGTAATTGATTTGAATAAGAAACCGAAAATATTAAAGACAAAATCTAGGCGATTTCCAATTTTTTAATACATCAGTTCAAGCAGCTGATGAACTACTAAAAGTATCTGATTTGACTTTGATACAAAGTACCCAAACGGGTTGGAACTCTGCATGCAAGATATGCATAAGATTTATACAAATATCAGATAAAGCTTTGTCTGTGTTGCTTAAATCCGAGATTTGCCGTCAATGCTCTCTGGAATGGAACTACAAATAATATGCGAATTCGTTAGTTTACTTAAACCTTTCAAAGAAGCTACTGTTACACTATCAGGAGAAATTTATGTGAATGGAAGTTTGACAATACCTGTTATCAGAACATGCGAAGTGACTCTCAGTGAAATTCCACTAAAGGTAGCCACAGCATTAATATCCAAACAACTTTTAATATACTAGTTTTTGTACAGATTCAAAAACATTGAGCATATTCCTTTAACCACTGCATCCATTTTAATAGATCTAAGATTTAAGAAGATACACTTTAAAAATCGCTTATCTTCTGCAGGAGCAATTATTTAATAGCATTTTAAAACAGCTAAAAGATTCAAAATCTATTTATTATTTTAAAAATCCAGAAAGAAAACGCCAAACAAAATGCATACAACTGCTCAGAATTTTTGGTCACATTATAATCAATCGGGTGCAAAAAAATAAGCTTTCTACAGGAAAAACGAATTAAGACTTGTAAAAGAATTGAAGTACAATTTGAATCAGCCTGTTTTCCGAAGACAAGCGATCCACTATAATTTTGAAAATGACACTTTTGTCAGCAACTTGCAGATTTAGGCGTCAAACATTTAACGATACTCGCAACATCGGTTCTGTTAAGGTGGCTCCTCACTATAAATACCACAAGAAGAGTAAGCATACTGCAACACAGCTTTTCATTGGCTGTGGAGGTTCTTGACTAAAAATGGATAGGTACCTATAGTCCCTTCAAAAAAAGTTTAGTCACATCTACACCGTTGACCTATATCGTACAATACAGTGACCCGAGCAGACGTATGTATACAAATCTGACAACATAACCCTTGTATGTAAATAATAATAAGCTGACGATAAGTACCTAACAAAAAAGACAATGCCCCCCGACAAATCGTCCTGCTCGTCGTACGAGAGGAAAAAAATTTAAAAAAAATCTACAAGTTATTTATTAGTGACGAGTGAATACAACCGTGTCCTAACATTATCGTGATATATTCTACTAATTTTATCTATTATTCAAAAAAGTACATAAGTCAGCCCTGCATTAAATTATTTTCTTAGTTCAGCGTCTCATTTATTTTTATTATAATTACGATTCCCCACAACTCCTATTCATTTTACGTACAACTTTCTGACCAATTCAAACTACGCGGGCTACCACTCTTCGGTGTAGCAGACGCCCCACACTTTTCATCTGTTCCGTGACTTGCACAGTTATCTACTATTTTCACAAAATATCCTATATAAAACCCATGGTAATGTCCAAGTACCTGAATGTCATAGAAAGATTCTTCTATTCTTTCTTCTATCTGCTACATAGTTTTCTATTAAGAACTACAGTATCTTTGCTGAGATATCATACAACCTGTGCCATCAATTTGACGTCCCTTCATTAGAGGCTATGTTACAGAGTCTATTTTCCAGTTAGTTTTTTTCAACAATTTTGGTGGTGACGAGGTCTAAAATTTTGGGAAAAGACTCCTTGCACCTTCAAGAATCATCCTTTAAAATATCATTTTATACTCCAGTGTTTTGATTTAGTGAGGAGCCACCTTAAAGAGAATATTTTCAACTGCTGGAGAAATTTTTAAAAACAGAAGAAATAAGTTAACTGCATAATATTTTCCGTAACTATTATTCTTGCATTATTTGTCTGTAGGTGACTAGAAATTTTTAGAAAATGTTCTTAAACTTTAACCATCTTCTACGATTGTAAATGTTAGGACTGTGAGTTTTTGTTGAGCTTTAGCTTGAGTATACGTATATGTAACAATATCAAGGAATTCATAATTATTTAAAACTTATGTTAAAACCAAACTATACCTTCATTATAAACTGCAGCACTTGGTTCTTGATCTTCCTCAACAACATTAGCTAAGGCCATACCGTAAGCTGATAGGATACCAGCATATTTGTGAACGAAAACCGTTTGCATACCTAGATTTCTCGCTACTGCACAAGCATGCTGTCCACCAGCTCCTCCAAAACATGAGAGAATATGGTGGGATGTATCATGTCCTTTTGCCTATATAAAAAAAATATGAGCAATACACATCTGCCGTCCAACGGAAAAACAGGTATAAGTGACATTTTTCACGAAAATGACTTATTTATGCCAATCAATTTGTCAGACAATTCTGCGTCTAATAGCACATCTCTAAATGAAATATATAATACCGTTAGTAATAATTGAATGAAAATTAGAAAAATCGCTAATAATTTTCGTCAGCGATAAAAAAAAGGGTAAGTGACACAAAACTTGGAAATCGCGCCAGGCAGACAGCGTAAGTGCACTTACCCTTTTTTTATGTTTTAAAATCGATGATCACCACCTTGAATTCCAAAATAGAAAAAAGGTAAGCCCCATAGAATAAGCTGTATTTTTGCACTTACCCTTTTTTCACGAGGAAATTGCGCCAAGTTAGAAGGGTAAGTGCAGATTTTGATAGTTCCCATCAAAAAATCGTTCTTCTTTTGTGGAAAATAGAATAATTATATCATATTTATATAAAAAACAGTTTTTCAGTGGTCCAATACTTAAATTATCATCGATTTTTTAAAACACTTAGTTTCCCTTGATTTTCTCAGTTCATCTCTTATGTCACTTATACTTTTTTCCGTTGGACGGCAGACATATGGGGGGAGGGTGATATAGTAGTACTGATACCCTAATTCCCTCCCCTCTATGATACGCAGCCATCTTGGTGTTGGTAAGGAAGGCCGTAACGTAAAATGTAATAAACATAGGTGGACAAATCGATGTGCGCGTGGAAGACTATCACAGCGTGACGTCACCCCATTTAAAATAACACGGTGTGAAGTCACCCTGTGATAGTCTTCCACGCACACGTCGAAATATACCTTTAGATAGATATGTAGGTTCATAAATTTATAATTCGCATAAGATAAGCACTTAAGAGAAGTAATATCAGTTATAATATGTTTGAAAGACCGTGATTACTCCTCATTCTTTTACTTAGTAAGTAACAGCCTTATGAACTATTTACAAATTTGAATAACTCAAAAATAAAAATTTAAAATATGCATAAGTGTAACGTATTTTTAAATTCGTGTTTTTAGTTATCACATGCTCTTAAAAGACTAAAATTTTAGAACAGATTCTTTAAATTGTTTTATATCTTACTGATGGTTTTCATTTTATGTAAGGGCTACCTTTTCTTAAATAAATTAGTAATAATTTGATATAACAAAACTGTACTGACTAAACTAAATAATAAAAATTGTGGTTATATAATGTACCCACTGCATAACATGGAATCACTAAGGACTATAAGAGTAAGGGAGAGGTTTTTTCCATGCATCTTTTTCTCACTTTTATTATATTAAATGGTTCTGCATTACGCGTTCCATGCCCTATACAATCGCACCCGTAAACATACCTACACTATTGAGAAGTAAACTTACAAACTCAACTGATGTACTTGACACTATTTATTAACATAGTCAGTGACAAAGGTTGATGACATGACGTTACTACCTTAGGGTAGGTTTAGATTGAGTCTGTCAGTTTGCAGAAAACATTATTGTATAAACAAATTATGTCTTTTAAAAACTTTTTAGGTACTTCAAAGGTACTAAATAATTTTTAATAAGCAGTGTAAGTTAAAAAGGTTAAACAAGAATTAGAACGAACGGCTGTGTCTAAGAAGTGTCGCTATTAACTTTTTTTTGGATGGATTCTTCTTGGTGAAGAAAATCTACAAAGTGAGAAACTTACCTGAGTTAAAGCTCTTATGGGCCGACACATCGTTTCGTTGGCGACTCTTATAAAGCCCATTGCTACTTCTTCTATACTCATTCTTCTGCCATCTTTTCCACCTTCAGTTATTAAAAACTGGTTGATCTAGAAAATACTTTGAATGATTAATTGCTTTGGATTCATCAGCAATTTATTGAAATGATTATAAATTAAATAATTTAAAAAATGTTAACTTATTCTGTGAGATAATCTTATCGTTTTTAACTTCTAGGCTAAAATGAAAACTTTTTTCTAATACTTTCAACTGCTTTATTTGCAAATGCTCTTACTTTTCCGTAAGATCTATTGTATCAAGGAATTAAACTGCTGCAGCATGTGACAAAAGTATGACAGACGCTGTTGGTGGCAACATCAATCAAATGTGCGATCAATTCATGGTTCATAGGAACAATATTCGAAATGATAAAGACATAAGTAGTTGACTTAGTTACCAATTCTGATACTGAAATTAATGTTTTTTCAATTAATAACTGAGAACTTACAAATAAAGATTTATTAATTTCCAATTATTTAAAGGCAGTTTACGACAGTTCTGAAGTTCATAAAGTACTTTGGTCACATGCAAAAAAAATTTACGTCATTAATGTTTTATCATGTTTTTCATGTTTATCTGAGAGTTACTATGAGAATTATAAAATCAACAAAATAGAGTGTATGCCCAAAAAAGTGTAAGGCTTATAGAAGATAGCTTTTGGATAAGCAAAGAAATAATTGAAATAAAAACAAATTTGAAACTGTAATAGAGTCTGATTTAAAAAATTATTCATGGATAAACTAACAATTCACGTAGCTTTCTTAGTAATGATATAAAAAAAAAATAACGATCACATCATTCAACAACTTTATTTTTTTCTGATATTTTAAAATATTATGGTTTAATTAATAAACCGTTGCTCAGTTCACAACAAAATCAAAACACTCTGTGAAAAATCAGTCAAAAATACTTTAAAAAGACTCCACCTTTAACTCAGATACCCTCTGTTCCCGACGATAGCGCTTAGTAATTTGTAAACGCTCGTCTTCTCGTTCATGCTCCGTTTAAGTATGTTTTTAGAGAAAAGGAGGTACGCGGGGACGTCTCAACACAACATATATTGTATATGGTTGTGACGATGTTCGTACGCTTGACGGCGAGGAGAGGTGGTGCCGTCAAGGCTGCGTATCGACTCTGATGTTGAAAGCACGGGGTGAGGGGAGGAAAGGGGGTAGGAGGTATTTTTCCCCTCACAGACGTGATCGAGAGACGTTCGCACGCGGGTAAAATAGTTGAATGTGGGACAAGGGGAGAGAGGGATAAAAGAACACGGTTGGTTTCCTCTCTCTTCTACAACGAACGCGGTTGCCCTTGGCAACGAATTTTGTTATAAAATTTGGATATAAAAAGACTAGAAAACGAGCGGCAGTTTTTGTTTTTTTGATTCTTTCTCTTGAGAGACGTCGAGCTGTATTATATACCCTCGGTATTAATAAATATTTAAAAAAAAACGTTAACTTCGCCTCCTTGAATTTCCTTTTTCTTGACCGCGGAAACCAGTCGGTTTCACCCTCTGAAAAGTTCTCAAAGTCAAAAGAAATGAAAGCTTTTATTAAAAATCACGTGATGTTTAGCAGTATTTAGGACATTCAGTGCAAACGTGACATTTTGTATCTTATCAAATAATAAAACCAGTGGCTATTGCTGTTGTATATAATTTTTTATTATATCCCCTGACGACGTTTCTCTCCTCTTTGGGTAGGAGCCTTTTCAAGTCAAAAAGATTATTTTGTTCGAAGATTCAAACAACGTCAGTACCCAACGAGGGCACATAGCCGACTATTTTACAGACCCATAGATGTATTATAAGTAGAGGGGGCAAGTAATGCTCGACAAACATCCACTGGGTGGAAAGAAAAAGAAAACTGGATGGGTCTTGCATCTCCCTCTCATCTCTACGTTGATTAGCTCTAGGCAATCCACATATGCAGCCACCTTATTGATAGGTTACTGTGAAGGCAGCTAGCCAATAACCCACTCAACGGAGAGGTGCGAGGGAGATGCATGAATCGTCCGATTTTTTTTCTCTTTTTACCGAGCGAACGCTTCCACTTACAGTCAACCATTTAGCTTGTCCCCTCCATTTATAATATCTCTATGTACAGACCAAGTGTAGGGTGAGATACTCCCGTGTACTCAATCTTTGCGTACATTACGTAAGTATATCCACCAAACTAAGTTGTTAATCAAAAATTAAGACAGTACCAGTTTTAACCTCTAAAATCTGTCAATTATAGAGTAAATTCGATCTTGTAAAAGAGGTGATTTGAGATAAACGTAAGAAAACTATTACTTTAATCAAGACACAAGAATTTGATTAAAATTATTTCAAAAAGAATAGTTATCATAAGTTTATCCAGTACTCCAAGCAGCGAGCTACGTTTGAAAGCAAGTGATAATCAAGATTGAAAATCAACTGTATAAGCTCACTTTGATTGCTCAGGATCTTTGATGAATAAGAATAGTGAGATAAGTAGAGACAATTCTTCATACAAGCAGATAAAAACTCCATCTATCTTAAAGATATTATAAGTTGTTATCAATTGATACCAAAATATATATAATATCAACAGCTATTCAATTTTTATAGTAAAATAATTAAAAATAATCTTTAAGTATTTATTTTTAACAACAATCTATAAGATTATAAGACTGTAGGTTAAAAAAAAAAAATCAGAGCTTTTCGAAGTTATAATGCAATAAATTAATATCAAGTTTTAAATCTCGTCCAATAAGATGGAAGTAATATCTTTTAATTTATACATGTATAAAGCTTTTTATGAATGAGTAGTACTATGATTTTTTCTAATTGTTTGAACAGAAAAAAATTTCAAAAGTTAGAAAAGGAGAAGTGTCAAAATGTTATTACAGCTAAAGAATCACTCAGACGAGTTATAAAAGTAGTGTAGAGATACAGAGTGCATGTAGAGACTACGTATGATAAATTAGAATCAATATTTTGCCTAGCGTAAGCCTAGATTTGAATAGATACAATGATTATCATGTGGTAACATTAAAAAAGTGATGATAGACAAATGCATGTTAAATTGTAGCTGTTTTCTATCAGCACTATAAAAATATCCTATTACAAAACTAGATTTTATCGCGTCATAATTACATACACCGGTGAAGATGACCAACCGTGAGGATTTCAGCACTTTTTACATTTCAAGAAGGTTAGAAGTGAAAGTAGAAATTTAACATTATACTTATTAACTACGAAGGACATCTCAATTAATAAATCCGTACCTGAGTATCCACCTAGTTTCTGTTGTCCAATGCAAATAGGAATTTGAAAGAAATGCAGATAGCTTAAGCTAACATAACAGTGATAACCCAACAGATGCAACACTATCATTTAAAGTGGACGTAACATGTAACAGTAATCTAGATATTGGTTCAAAGGAAATTTCAAATCCAGCAATGAAACTGTACATGAGTGCACTACAAAGGGTGCAAAAGGAGACTCCGTATAAGAGTGTTAAAAGGATAAAGAAAATTATATCTAAAAGAAAAGTTAAATCAGCTTATGTAAATAATACTATCAGTGCTAATTTAATTACAAAACTGCCTCTTTGCTCAGAATCGCATCAAACTGATGAATAGATTGATAATGACAATTTTTATTATTTGAAGCAACCAGACGTTCTCAGAGTCAACGATATAAATATGATACCTTGAATACAGACTGTTCGGAGTATCATAAAGTACAAAGAATTATAATTTATGGCAAAAAATTAAAAAAAATTTGATTTAAGCATTAATTACGTTAATCCTGAGCAAATTACGCTAAGACTATATTGGTTAGAAGAGCTCAAGATCTTGTATTGAAAGGTCAATTTAATGGTTCACCAAAGATATTTAAGCAGCGTAATATTTAGAAAGAAATTAAACTTTTAGATGACGTTAAGCATCCAAATATTTTCCTGAATAGAGATGTCGCAGAAACTTTAACTAAAAGTTATTTTATTACCAAATTCTTTTAATACAAGAATTCTTATGAAATTCTATTTAAAGAGCAGTTTTTCTGTCAATATCGCATAAACCACTGCAATAAAGAAATAATAACTCTCCAAGTGAGCTGTACATTAGCTTACTTACATTTGCACAAGAGACAGATTATTCTATTTGACATAGGTGGGGTACTTACACACATATACCACCAGAGAATCTTTTATCTAGATCTACAGCTATTACTACATGTGACATGTAGTCGTACATATGTATATACAAATACTTTAGTTATGAGCCCATGAATAGACCAGACATGAGTCGATTGCAGTCTACACTAAAAAAAATGTCTAACTGATATCGGTAATTAATGACAATTTGTCGAATTATATTCTTTTGTACTTACATTATTAACACAAAAAGTTTTTTTTTATTACAAGTTAACGTATTATTATTTGAGCATCTATATTAAGTTATATATGTATGTTACAAGTAGCGGATCGGTGATTCATTATTTTTTATTTATCAATTAGTTTGCTGTACATAGAGAGTGATATTATAGAGATGTGAAGACAAAAAAAAAATGATGGCTTACTCATCATTATCTTTCAATAGTTGTTTCGCATTTTATCTGTGATTTTTAAAATCAAACAAAAAGTTACGTGTTAGATTATGATTTATAATATGTACAGTCTAGTTTTATTTAATTGTTTAACAGTGAGTAATTCTATGAATATTTAAAAATTACTATCACAAAAAACCGTTCACTCATCGAATACTTACAACTTGTGAATGCACTCGCGCTGCATGCGAGTTCATCAATTTGGTAGGCATACGCAACTCTAGCAGTTGTGGCATATTAGTTCTCAAACAAGAAGCTCATATAATTAGGGTCGAACTTCAGTAACAGGTAATTATAATCTTTCCCTTGTTTTTCGACATCAAATATTATATGTTCAGAGCTTATTTCCAAAATTAAAGTTTATTATAACTTAAATGATTGATGCACTGCTCTAGTTACATGTTACACTACTCGTATTTCTTCTTTTAAAGTATAAGAAGAAAAATCTAAAAGAAATAAGTAAAACACAATCGACAA